ATAGGGTGCCAGGTGCAGGCACTGGTTGGGAGGCTCACTGTCAACCTCATACCCACACATGACTCAGCAGCTGACTGCGGAGGCCATGTGCATCTTTGCACGCTGTACACCAGCCCAGGCAGCTCCCATTGGTGAGATTGTTCTGGGGGTGAGGACAGCACATGCTCCCCCTGCCCCCCTTCCCCCACCGGGCATGCAGAGGTGCATGTTGCACCTGTAACTTGCTTCTTTGAGTGGTGTGTAGGAGTGCAGCTTGCAAGGATGCCGGTGGGCTGGATTCAGTGGTTTGGTAAGCTAGAAAAATAGATCCTTGATACATTGTCCGAACTATTTGAGTGTCCCTTCTTGGACCTTTTGGAGATAAAAACATAGTAATAAATGGGAAGCAGATTGATGGTGAAAATTTCATTAGCTTTTCCAAGTAGGGGCATTTTAGTTAGTATACCAGCATGCAGTAGGCTGAAGTGGAGGCTTAAGGGTCACTTTCAATAAAATTAAAAAATGTGTAGACATCTGATGACCACTGAAGAGAGGGGGGCTTTTAAGAAAACACACACACTGTGGAAAACTATATATTAGTTTATTTTCAAGGTGTTTCCTATCCTCTCTCTCCCTTTTACATACACCTCAAAAGAGAGAACTAGCTATGTGTTCAAATAGGGTTCAGTAGTAGATGAAACGTCATCTACCATGTATCATTCTGAACAAGGGGACATAACAGCAGATTGGGAGCTAAAGTCATGGCAGGAATAAATGTCCTGGAGCTCAAAAAATTGATTCTAGGATATATGCTGAATGTTACATCGACTTATTAGCAAATATTGTTGAAGTAGGTGACAGTCTTATAACTAGCAGTTTACATTTAAAATACAGATTTTCTCGCTGGTTAGCTTTAAAAAAATCTGACTTGATAAAGATTTTCTCTTCTGAAAGAAAACTAATTGCAGTATTTTCAGAAAGTGCAATTGCAGATTTTTCAAAGTCTGGTTAGACACAGGGAACTTTTTTTTAGAAGATTCAAGAAAATTCAAATTGAGTGATGATCTTAGAATAATAGAATTCACTCTCTTGTTGTTAAAGTCAAAATAATTGTGGCTACTTGAATATTTCAGTGGTTTACATTTGTTACCTGGATGGACAAACTTTCTTCTTTTCTGATAGAATTTTCTAACTACAAATGGTGCCTGGTTGCATGTTGAGTTCTAGTCAGTTGCATTCTGACTGCCTGTTCTGACATTCAGAGCAGTTTACCATACTAACTCCAGTAAAATCTGCCTTGAATGTAGTAGTCACTTCATTATTATGCCATCTCTTTCACTAATGTTGGAGGGAGGGGGGTGTTGTCTTCAGTGATAGGCACAGTGAGTTACTGAACTTTGGTGCAGATGAGATAATAGTCCAGGACATCATCCCAAGGATGCCTCAGAATGGTATAAAAAATACTAAGCTAAATTTTGAAAATGATCACCAAAATGGAACACTAACCACAAGGAAGCAGTGAGGATGACACAAAGTACCCTAATGATTTTACATAACCTCACTGATATTGCCTATATTTCGCCTCCAGTAACAGTATGCCGTCATTCCTGCCATTGAAAATGTATTTAGTTCTTCAAGGATAAAGAAGTCAAAATAAAATTGGCTAGTCATGATTCCAATAATCAGGGCTTGACAAACGACAGCGAGATCTACTCACCAGCCCCACACCATGCATGCGCCAGACCGGCACTGTGCATGCGTGCAGCGCCAGTGAATGGGCTGAATGGCTGAAATCTACTCACCACAAGCGAATAGAAACAACGATTTGTCGAGCCCTGCCAATAATCACTCTGAATATCTGTTCCAGTTGCAATTTGTACCAATGTAATTTTATATTGTTTCTGACAGCAATGCAAACATTTTTTACAAATTAACCCTGTAATGATAGAAATTCTGTAGGTTATACGGTTAACTGTGGCTCTGTGCAGGGCTGCTGTGAGGGGGAAGTGGTTCCTTGGGACCTGGTCTGGTGGGGAGCCAGCTTAAAAGCTGGTTTTCTGCATGTATTGGCTCCTGCCTGCCCCCTCACTCTTAAACAGAGGCCACAGCATGGGAGTTGGCAGACTGCATGTAACCACAAAGGTTAACCAATGAGCCCAGGCTTATCGGTTAATTGTGTACGCCTTTACACTTTGACATTTTCTGCTGTATATCAGCATGACAGGGTGGATCTTTAGTCTCTGAAATGTATCTGAGCCTGCTGCTTATTTTTCCAATAAATGAAATAATTTACATTTGACTTAAAGTGAGAAATATCAGTAACAGGAGCAATTGAACTTTGATGTACAAAGCCAGGATATTTTTTAGAAGAATAAGTAGAGAAATTTCTAAGCAGAATTGTTTCTAAGTAGAAAATTATTTTTTGTGCATTTAAGATGTCTGCAGGTCTCAAGGAAATAACTTGACATACTGTCCCCTTTTTAAAAGAGTGTTACTTAAAAACTCTTGGTGTTTTTCTGTTTCTTCAGGAGAGTATACAAGGAAAGATTAGGACTTCCTCCAAAGATAGTGATTGGTTATCAGTCCCATGCAGACACAGCTACCAAGAGCGGCTCCACCACTAAAAATAGGTTTGTTGTTTAAGAAGACACCTTCTACGTATTCTTTCATAGGAGACTGCGTCAAGCAATCGAGAATTGGGAGCTGAACCAAAGCCTCTTCAAAAGCAGAGTGGACTGCATTTAAATTTGATTTCCATCTAAATGTTGCTAAGATTTGTGAAGTCTCATTCGCCTTTGTCTTGTACTTCTGTGTTCAATTTTTTTTCTATTTTGGCTGAAGTAACCATTATTCAATCAAAGGATTTCAGTATACATTGCCCCAAAATCCATAAGCGTTTTCCTGGCCCACTCTCTTAATAGCTTAGTAGGACATTACTATTACAAAAACATTTGTTTATCCACAGTATTCAGAAAAGAAACTGCATCTCTATACCTTACAGAAGAAAAATTACTTATGTTTTTACATTTGCATTGTATGCCGTAACATATTTTGCTGGTTTGGAGAAAGAGTACGGTGAATAGAATTTTCTAGCAATTTTCTTAATACAGCATTGTCTTTGCTGTAACCTATGCTGATGGCTGCTAGACTTAATTTATTTGTTTCCCTAATTGATAACATTAGTGATACTCTGATTTCACTTGTTTTTGCTCATGTAACATTGGTGAAGGGTCTGGGAATATGACAAAGGTGGAATAAACATTAATTTTGTGCATTCTTTGGTAACTTTTTGTTTTTTGTAACATCAAAGCTTTGCTACAGATTTATGCATTTCAGTCAAATCAGTGATCTATGTTTGTGTGATTTCCTAAACATAATTGTGGATTTTTTTAAATGTAACACCATAATTTACATTCCTTACTAGAAATAGTATGTCTGTTTTTGTATCTTATGCTGTATTTTAACACTTTGTATTAGGTTATATTCTTTGGTTAAAAATGGCTCAAGTAGACAAGCAGTCCCATTCATATTAAGACAGTGTACAAAACTGTAAATAAAATGTGTACAGTGAATTGTCTTTTAGACAACTAGATTTGTCCTTTTATTTCCTCCATCTTTACAGCAAATATTTGTACTACTTGTGACAAGGCAGTCTCTACTGTAGCTTCTATTGTAGTGGATCTTCCAAGAGAGATTAAGTTTGGCACTATAGTTTATTACTATGGTTATTAAAAATTTTAATAAATCTAATAGCACCATATTCCAAAGTGAAACTACATTGATTTGGCTATTTTTCTTAAAATGGTCAGTCTGATCATAGTGTGTTGTGCAGATTCTTTGACAGTGTACACAGAATTCAAGAGATGTCAGAAGGGATAGAGGGCAAAATCTTTCTCGATTCAGGTGGCAGCTACAGCAAAATACCTATCTGGAATAGCACTTTTCATCAGTAGATCTCAGAGCATGTTGCCAAAGCACATTGATGTTTTCCACATTTTACAAATGGAGGGCAAAATAGATGGGGAGAGTGACATGTCCAGGGTCACTCAGCAGGTCAGTGGCAGAGCTAAGAATAGATCCCGGGTCTCTAGAGTCCCACTCTGGTGTTCTGTTAGGCCACGATGTGCATCTCGATCAGTGAAGTGAATGATTCTACTTAAAATCATGTAGCTACTCTGTGAAGTACCAATAAAACCCACTAAAGAAAAGTATTATAAGGAAGTAAAATGTATTAAGAACTATACAATCTGCTAGCATGGCTTCTATATCAATGGAAAATTTCCATTTGGTTCGGGCAGTTGTCTGAGAGGAGCCTACTATATAAAGTTTTACAACTATTTAAAGGAGTAAATCCTAACAAACTTCTGTTATCATTCTCAAAATAAAACCTAATATGGAATCATAGAACTGCAGCGAACCTTGAGAAGTCATCAAGTCCAGTGCCCTGCAATCATAGCAGGACCAAGCATCTAGACCATCCCTGATAGGTTTTTGTCTAACCTCTTCAAAATCTCCAATGATGGAGATTACAAAACCTTTCTAGGCAGTTTATTCCGGTGCTTAACCACCCTGACAGGAAATTTTTCCTAATGTCCAATCTAAGCCTCCATTGCTGCAATTTGAGCACATTGCTTTTGTCCTATCATCAGAAATTAGAGAATAATTTTTCTCCCTTCTCCTTGTTTAACAGCCTTTTAGATTCTTGAAAACTGTGTTCCTGTCCTCTGTCTTCAATTTTCCAGACCAAACAAACCCAGTTCTTTCAATCTTTCCTTATAGATCACATTTTCTAGACCCCCTCTAGTTTCTCCACAATCTTTTGTCAAATATGGCACCTAGAACTGGACAGGTTGAGGGCCAATTGGCACAGAATGGAGCTGAAGAATTACTTCTCATGTCTTGCTTCCAACACTCCTGTTAATGTATCCCAGAATGATGGGGGTTTTGTTGTTGTTTTTTTGCAACAATGTCCCACTGTTGACTCATATTTAGCAGTGGTCCACTATGACCCTTAAATCCCTTTCTACAATACTTCTTCCTAGATAGTAATTTCCCATTTTGTATGTCTGAAACTTATTGTTCCTTCCTAAGTAGAATACTTTGCATTTGTCCTTACTGAATTTCATCCTGTTACCACAGGCCATTTCTACAATAGATCAAGATCATTTTGAAAATGCAGTTCCAACCTCCAAAACACTTTCAGCCTCTCTTTCAGCTTGGTATCATCTGCAAACTTCAAGTGTACTGTCTGTCTTTATTTAAATTGCCGATGAAAGTATAGGACAAAACCGGACCCAAAACTGATCCTAGTGAAACTCTATTCGTTATGCAAGCATGACTAAAAATTCTCACCAAACTTAAGTGATTGGGCAACAAAATGGCAAATGAAATTTAACGTTGATAAATGTAAAGTAATGCACATTGGGGAAAAAAACAATCCCAACTATATATACTATATGATGGGGACTAATTTGGCTACAACTACTCAAGAGAAAGATCTTGGAGTCATTGTGGATAGTTCTCTGAAAACATCTACTCAGTGTGCAGTGGCAGTCAAAAAAAGGAAATAGAATGTTAGGAGTCATTTAAAAGGGGCTAGAGAATAAGACAATGAATATATTATTGTCTCTATATAAAACCATGGTACACCCACATCTTGAATACTATGAACAAATGTGATCGCCTCCTCTCAAAGATATATTGGCATTGGAAAAAGTTCAGAAAGGGTGACAAAAATGATTAGGGGATTGGAATGGGTGCCATATGAAGAGAGATTGAGAAGAATGGAACTTTACAGCTTAGAAAAGAGGACACTAAAGGAGGATATGATAAAGGTCTATAAAATCATGACTGGTATGGAAAAAGTGAATAAGGAAAAGTTATTTACTTATTCCCACAATAAAAGGAGTCACCAAATGAAATTAATAGGCCGCAGGTTTAAAACAAAAAAGTTTTTCTTCTCTCAATGTACAGTGAACCTGTGGAACACATTGCCAGAGGATGTGGTGAAGGCTAGAACTTTTAACAGCGTTCAAAAACGAGCTAGATAGATTCATGGAGGTTAGGTCCATCAATGGCTATTAGCTAGGATGGGTAGGAATGGTATCCCGAGCCTCTCTTTCTCTGGAGGTGGGTGATGGGAGGGATCACATGAGGTTTACCTGTTATGATCCCTCCCTTTGTGGCATCTGCTATTGGCCGCTGTCGGCAGACAGGATACTGGGCTAGATGGACCTTTGGTCTGACCCAGCATGGCTGTTCTTAAGTTCTTCTTAGTGACTTTTCAAAGATAATAACTAATGGCTAATATCTCCTCTGTCGAGTATTCTAGGGTGCATGTAATCAGCTCCTGGTGACATGAATTTAAATAATTTACTTTTCCTATTTTAACCTCTGAACCTACCTTATTTTCTCTAGCATTCACTATGCTGGGCATACAGTCACCACCAACCTTCTTGGTGAAAACTGAAGCAAGTCATTAAGCACTTCTGCTATTTCCACATTTGCTGTTGGGTTTTTCTCTTTGACTATCGAGTCTACCTGTCCGTGGTCATCATCTTGCTTCTAATATATTTGTTGAATGTTTTCTTGTTACCCTTCATGTGTCTAGCTAATTTGAGCTCATTTTGTGCATTGGCCTTTGAGTTTACCCCAGAATGCTTTTGTTGTTTGTATTCCTCCTTCATGATTTGATCTAGTTGGCACTTTTTTAGTAGGACTCCTTTTTGATTTTTAGGTCATTTGAAATTCCTGGTTAAACAAGGGTGGTCTGTTGCCAAACTTTCCAGTCTTTCCTTCACAGTGAAATAGTTTGCCCTTGCTCTTAATTAGATGTCTTTGGAAAAGCCAACCAACTTTTTCAATTGTTTTTCCTCTTAGACTTGCTTCTCATGGGACTTTGCCTAGCAACTCTCTGAATTTGTTAGTCTGCCTTCTTGAAATCTATTGTCTTTATTTTTCTGTTCTCTTTTCTGCCAGTCCTTAGAATTACGAGCCCATTAAATGATCACTTTCACCCAAGATGCCTTCTACTTTTGAATTCTCAACCAGTTTCTCCCGATTTGTTAAAATCCAATCTAGAGCAGTCTCCCACTCACCTCAGTGACTTTCTCCACTTTCTGAAATAAAAAATTGTCTCCAATGCATTCCAAGAACTTGTTGGATAATCTGTACCCTACTGTGCGGTCTTCCCAACAAATGTCTGGATAGTTGAAGTCCCGTCACCACCAAATCCTGTGCTTTGGACAATTTTGTTTATTAATAATAAAAAAAAAGCTTCATCCACCTCTTCTTCCTGATTAGCTGGTCTGTAGTAGACCCCCTACCATGACATCACCCTGTTTTTTGCCCCTCTAATCTTTACCTAGAGACTTCAAGGTTAAGAATGCTGTGCTGTTAGACTAGTCCCTTACATTTTTTAAATGTTAAGAATTTTTGAAGATCCTGCAGAAATAATTTTTTCTGCAGTTTGCCAGTCTCACATATTCTAAGAGACTCTGCATTTGTATCTCATTGTGAAACTTCTTACATTAAGACTGAAATCTGCCTCCTGTTTAAAATGCTATCAGAATGGGGAACAATGCTTAGCCACATTTACATTTCACCATTATAGAAAGTTAGGATAAAATAAACGCTGCATAATTTTCAAGAAATGAGGTTGTGTTTTTTATAATCTGGGCCATATGTGCCCTGAAAATGATAGAATCACTACTTATATTAAAATTAATTATTACTATAAACAGATGGATTTATTTTAGTGTTACGGTGCTAAAAACTAATACCTTTAGCAGAGCAGGCATGTCTCAACGAAATCCTGAACTGTCAGTTTAGTGACATTCTACCTGCAATGTCATAGGTGAGATGTCTTCAATGGGAAGAACTTTGCACTCACATTAGTGCAGGATTATATAAGGAATGCAGAGTAACATTTGTAATTTGATTTTATAGTACAATATTAAAGGGGGAGCTAGTACTAACCCGCTTCTGTGGAACTATTTGCATTTAAATTATGTTCATGCTTTTCCTCAGCAAAGCTTTGTTTATATAGTTTATGCCACTTCCTATTCAATTTCTTTGCTCGGTTGTTCAGGTCTGCTGATTATTTTGCTGAACCTTTGTTTCCATTGTCTATATCATTCAAGGTGCATGCTGTTTGTTGCTAGTTTGACCATAAATTGTTGTTGATAGTTCAAATGTTCTTTGTCATTATGTAGCCTGTATTTAGTAAATCATATACTTGGGGAATAGTTTTAACTTGAAAGCTTTCCACTCTATTGCACTCTTCTCTAGGTAGAAATACATTGGATTTTATTTTTTTAAATATATGATTGTGTGGGGTTTCAGAACCAGGTTTATTAAAATGAGATGGCAAAAGTGAGAGTGTAGATAATCTGTTCTGCTTTTTGTGTAGTGCTTTTGAGGACTGGTGACAAGTGCTGTACAAGAGAAAAGTAGTGTTTGTTTTAAAAGCTTCTAAACTAGAACTTGTGATGGTATAGTGTGTAACCCAGGACAGTGTGACAATTTACTGTTTTTTATTCTAAGTAGACTACACATTTTTAATTTTGTTTTGGATTTGTATG